GGGGGGGGGGGGCAAAAAATCAAAATGCTGAAATAAAAGCGAGTTTGAGCAAATTTTTTTAATTCTTGTTTATGGCAGTTAAAGTCCCGTTTTGATGTTTACCAAGCATTTTCACCTCATTTTTGTCTATAACATATTTTTGAGAGCGCTCCAAAAATAATGCTGATGTCAGCAATTTTGATCTTTTCAAGAGGAATTAATCGTTCGAATTCAAAATTTGGGGGGGAATGTTTGTAGTAATGACATGCAAAACATATAAAACACCCAGTTTTGTGACTCTTTTTCTGGTTTCAAGTGTATAAATCAAGAATTGTGTGGTGTTCATCCGGGATTTTAATTTGCCCCCCATTTCAACCTCGATGCCCCCTCTAGTGTTATCATGGATAATAAAGTTTTTATTATCCATGGTGTTATTTATAATCTCTATGCGTGCGCGTCAGTGGTGCGCGTGCGTCAAAGACGTCATGACGACTCCATATCACCATGACAACAAATATCATATAAATATTAAACAAGTGGTCTTTTGATTTTACAACATGTTTATGAGGATCAAGTATTTATATTAATTTATCCACTATAATCTATGAAGTTAGCAAATCGAAGAATGTATTATTCTAAAGAAATAAATTTAGACAACGTGAAGGGAAAATTACGTGAAGAATTGAGTGATAAAACATGCAAAGATATCGAAGATTTTCTCTTGCCCAAGTTTGACACAGAGCTTCCACACGGCAGAAGGAAATGGAGAATTGTTCAAGACGGCCACGGAAGATGGCGAGAAATAAATATCGATGCTCAACATGAAATTCAAGGAAAATGTGACGTTACAAACGAAACTTTACCAACTCCAGCTAGCAACAAGTTATTATTTTCAAATAATATTTTAAACACAGTGAAAAGTGCCTCAAAGCTTCAGCAGAGTGGAAGGACATCAAGACAAGACTCAAATTACAAAACTCTTTCAACAAACACGCGGGCAAACATTTTCCCTGGCGTCGGTAAACATAATTGGTTTAGCCAATCAAATCATGTTTACACAGAGTCCGCACTCAAGTTGGGGGATAAGGGTGGTCGTGATCTTCAATGGGGGTTTCATGGGATCACTCGAGATGCTTTAGGAGCATGGAATGAGGCAAGCGTACATCATGAAAGGATGAAGAAAGCGTGGGATGTCTATCTTGAGTCTTTAGCGAAAACTGGAGGGGATAGGTAAGGATCGATCAAGTCACTTTAATATATTTGAGACTTATTAGTTTTAATTAACTCATTGATACAAGGGCTCCCCATCTTAATGATCGGGTAAAATTGTCTGACGTTTATATAGACAGAGTAAAATAATAGTTAAAGTAGGGTACCTGTAAATGTCATAATTACTATGAATTGTTAACCACCACTCAGCTTTTAGCCAGAATATCAAAACTGGCTGTCCCACAAAAATTGTGGCCATTCCTGGTCAATGTTCACTTTCTGCGACATTCTATGTTCACTAATATATTCCTAATGTCAGTAATGTGGCTTTTTACTATTGGACCGGAATAATTTACTCATTCTCCCCCACACCCCCAGCAGATTATTATGAACGTTGGTCAAATAATAGGAATTAGTGTCGCAGAAATTATATTTTGTCCTGGACCAGAGTGCATTCCATGCACATTTTGTGGAAGATCTTCAGCGTGAGTTTTGAATTGCTGGCGCACAATCACGTTGAGGTTGGCGCACAAGTTTTTAGTTTTGGTGGTTGGCGCAGCATCAAATGTTTAAGCGAGACTTTGAGTATTAATAATCGCCTGGTGATTGGCCTCTATAATTATTTTATAGGGACTCGAGAAATATGTGTTTCTGGTTGTAATAGTAGCTAAATGGTGGTTATAACTTGTGATACAACAGTAACAACACTCATCATTGCTCATCAGCAAAACATTTTATTCATCAATGAAAAAGTTTTGAAACGCTAGCGGCCATATATATGCAAAAATAAAACAAAAGTTATTTCTTGCAAAACACTGCTGAAGATGAATCTGATTTAGATTCGAAATATACAGTTTTAAAAAATTGTGTGTTAATATTATGCACTCCTTATTCGGAATAACTTTTGTTTTATTTTTGCTGAAATTATCAGCCGGAAAAGGATTTTATATATACTGCAATTGCTACACTTCTACATTGGGTCGTTCCAGAAAAGATCCACACTCCCCCCACGGAGGAAATTTCTGCCGTCCGGAGGGGGAGGGGAGACAAAATTGTTTCTGATAATAGTAAATGTATTAGGACATCCGAAGGGGGTAGGGGGGTTAACTTCCAATTTCCTCCTTGGGGGAGGTATGGATGTTTTCTGGAATGACCCATTAGCAAAATTAATACTAGGTTGCATATGTATAAAAAGTTAAACTATACTAAAATATAATACAGTGTATTACTATGTTATTAAAAAGTTAAACTTTTGAGCAATTAAATTAAATGGTTAATTAAAAATACTGTTTCCTGAATATGTTACTGCTCCTTCTATTAATTAACAATTATTCGCCGAAGGCGAGGTGATTATCGGTGAATAAAAACCGAGACGAAGTCGAGGTTTTTATTCACGATAATCACCGAGCCTGAGGTGAATAATTGTTTTAGTATAATTTGATACGTGATTATCTGGAAAAGAATTAGAAATACACATTTCTTCGTCATTTAATTGATAAAACGGCTTTGGCCGCCATTTTGAAAATCACTTAGGTGATTATCGCGTAATAATCACCTCAACGGCAACCAATCAGCGTGGAGACTTTTCAATAATCACCTACTGTATGTAATTATACTAAAGTCCAATTAATAAGACAGAGCAATCCAAACCTTCACCCCCATTAAGCTGCAATGCACTCATCCTATATTTTATTGTTTTAACTTTGACAGAATAATTTTACTTGCGAAGAGGAGGGTCTTGTTTAGGGAGGTTATCCATGTTGTTCATCTGATTTTCCAAACCATGCAGTAATTTTGCTGCTGCATGGAAAACATTGCCATGTTGCTTTTAGAAATGAATTGTTTTCTACCTTTGTCATGTTGATCACCATCACAATTTAGACAGAATTTGTGTCAAATGTAGCTATTTTATTTCCTATCTGTCGCCATCTCAGGGCAATGTCGTGTCCACCTGAATTTATGCCCTAGCTAACGGCATTGAGGGTCTATTTAATGGGTTAATTTTATTGCCATCACTAAAAATGTTTAGCCACGTACCTTCTGTTTTCCACTTTTCGTCATACTGAGTGCAATGAAAGGTCAGCTCACCAAATTGCAATCATGATAATTGAGAAATGATGAAAATAGCTTGATTAAAATTATCATAATTAATACGAAATTAAGTCAACTACAGAGTACAGTAGCACTGATGAAGATAGTACTTATTAGCACTGATGAAGATCCGGGCTTACGAATTGAAAACTTAGTTACAGTAGTAAATTTACGTGGTGTTTCCACAAACAAAAGTATTACATGTATTAACGCCATGCAACTACAAAGAACTTACAACTACAGTAGACTACCTAATTTGCAAGCCTAATTTGCTGAAAATCTCACACAAAGTAGAGAGGTTAAGATAGCCCGGTTTCGGTGTACTGGTACGAGTAGTGTCATCTTGTTTTACTGATGTCTGTAATTCGATCATACTTTTTCTGTTTTCTTGCAATAGACAATGATATAATGCGAAAAATGTGCACCTTAATTACGAGTAAAGGTACAGACATCGACGAAAATATTGCTAATCAAAATCATGCTACCCGTACACGTACACCGAAACCGGGGTATCTTAACCTCTCTAGTAATTCATGTATAATTGGGAATTAGCCCGTATGAAAAGTAAGAAAATCAAAAATTTTGAGATCACCACAAACTATATTTAATAACAAGTGAACTTAAATCTTATGAATGATTATGAGTTGAAATCAACAATTTAAAAATTTGGGCCTCTCCCTCACCTCTGATTTAGGGGCCGATTACATGCATGGAAAGTTGAACTCAGCCCTGTTAACCGGGTTGAATTTTTTTTTCGATTACATGGACGATTTCAACCCCGGGGTTGAAATGCTATACGTTCCCGGCATTGATTCCCGGAAGTAAAAAGCCTTCACTTTTGTTTTCTTGTAGTAAATAGTCACTACCACGCATGCTCGATAATTTCAGCCCTGGGTTGAAACGATTACATGACACAATTTTCAACCCATGGCCTAGTTCAACGCCGGGGTTGCACTTGGCCCTTGGGTTGAAAATTTTGTCATGTAATCGCGCGTTTGATTTTGATAGAATTTTGTATTACAGATAGGGCTGAAATTTTAACCCGGTAAACAGGGCTGAGTCCAACCCCGGGGTTGAAAATGCTCCACGTAATGGCCCCTTATATACACGCCTTTACATGGAATAAAACTTGGCTTTCAAAGGGAGTTTATTATAGGGGTACGCATCTCCGAAAACCGCGCTGTTTTTCAAATTTTCACCGCAAACCGCGCACTAATTTCTCTTTTAAACGTAACCGCGTTCAAACCGAGGCATATATATATATATATATATATATATATATATATATATATATATATATATATATATATATATATATATATATATATATATATATATATATATATATATATATATATATATATATATATATGTATATATGTATATATATGGTAACATACAGTATTTCGAAACATATTCCGCAACATAATGCGAGGCAATAGACCAATGGTCAGTACGTATAGTCCCCATTTCTTTTGGAGTATTGAAGAGGGAGCCGTTCACAAGTTTCACGCGAACTAGTTGGTAGTATATATATAATTTGGCAATTGGCAAATCAAACGAAGTCTTAGCAGTTCAAACAGCTATAAAAAGGTTTTCTTTCCATCGTTGCGTATGTTTTGGTGAGAAACAATCAAGTTGCTTTGATTTCATCTTTTCGGGCAAATATTTATTACTTTGCCTTTGAGACTGATTTCATTTCGTAGCAATCGGCAAGTTAGAATATTAAAAAGCATGTTTTACTTTTACGGAATAATTTTTCCTGCAATAATTTCACAACCCCGGGTAATATTTCCCCCTCGAATTTTTAACAAATTAAGCGGAATCAGTTTGATGTTCTGGTGTTCCGTATTCCGGAATGATGCTGTTACGGTGTTCCGTGTTCCGTTGTTCCTGATTTTACTAATAGCCCGGCCACTTTGCCCATTTGATTTCGTCATTTTGAGGCCCTGTGGAACAACACATACGCGCGATCGGAAGATGAATGCCATGAACTGAATTATTGCCATGAGCTCGTAGAATATTTCTTAACCGCATGTTAAAAACTATCCGAAAACCGCCATTTATTTTGGTCAATAACCGAATCCGGAGGGTTAATTTTGACATTTTCCGTCTCCGCACGATTTCCAGTTAACCGCGCTAACCGTACAAAATAACTGAATATAACCGAAATCCGACCTCAAAATATGGATCCGCATAACCGCAAAACTATAATAGACCCCTTCAAAACCCAGAGTCTGGGCATGAAATATAGTAGGTGGTGTTTATTTAGCAGCTAAGCAGCCAAATTGTTCTATTGTCTATCATCACATCAGTAGTCTGTTAAGATATGATCATGGTATATGGAATACAGCTATAGACTTCAAAACCACAAAATAGAAGACCTTTTCTTGATGTTGAACTGTATATTTTTTTTGTTGAAAAAAAAAATCCCACTGTGCAGTGCGTGCACAAATCTTTGTGGAACACAAAATATTCTTTTGGCTTTACTGTGACAAGCAACAGAATCATATCACAAATTTATGGTACTACGCATGCAGAAAATCCCCGAAAAGACAATATGCAATGGATCATTGGAACTGCTTGGCAAAAATTAAGTAATGTGATTGATCGTGCGAGAAGTGATCAGCACGAGCTATCAAATTTATAGCAATTGATAGCTTGTCAATTGATAAGCTGTCCTAGCAACTGACTGTTAATCGGACATTTGTAAGACCGAAGCTAATTAATTGTTATAATCTACACGTTTGATAATACTTTATAAACTAAAAGTTACTATTACAAAGACAGTGCTGCCTCAATGCGCAACTGCAGGGCGACTGAGCACACACTGTGTGTAACATTATGTTAAGTTTTCGTTTGAATTTATGTTAATTTGTGCACAGGTCACCGCGCGTGATAATTTGCATTAGTATTTTCGTACAATTAAGTCAT